ATAAATCCTAGACCTTTGATCTTATCAATACAATTAGTGGAATAAGATTTAATAGAAATCGTGACATTTCTGAAGATAAAAACAGCAAGGACATTCTAGAATGTCTACAGCTGAATTTAGTTGTATTTTTTAGCATGTCATCCTAAGATTTCATTGTGTTTATAGTTTAGGTTGTTTTTGTTGTTGTTGCTGTTGTTTTAATGTTTTCTGTCCTTTCCTAAAAGTGTATTATTTTCATTCTTAAAAACATTAAACTCAAAGAATTAACAATATCCTGTTTGCTCTTGAACTGGTAAAACTTCATGGTCAGATTTTGGAAAAGAGCCTGAGAGAATCTGTGAGTACAAGTGTAAAACAATCATGTTATCATGAAACAATTACAAAATATTCTTCTGGTACGTCATCGTGTACAATTCTCTTTTCCTCCTATTTTCCCCAGCCCTTGGCAGGGCTTTCTTTGGATGTGTCCTCTTTTTCTACCTCCCACTAACATTGCACTGTCTTTCAATGTGTCCATGATTTCCTTATCTCAGCCTCAGCTCTGGCAACAAGACACATTGTAATTTCTAACCCAAATGGGTTCAGATATATTATGACTTCAGGACCTGTTCTAAGATACTAAAACCTGCAGGACCCCAAGAGGCGTAACAAGCCCAGGCTGTTTCCAGGTATGAGAAGGTATCCATGGCGGGGCTGGTCCAATGAGCAAAGCCTGGCAGCAGAAAGTTCCAGTGTGGATATAATCAATGTTATGATGCTGCTACCGCGTTACCCTGACACCATAGCTACCATTGCTATCTTATCGGAACCACCCTCAACATGAGGATTCAGGCCACCCCTACCAATGCACTGGAATTGATATACTAATTGAGATCTATTAACCATCCTTCAAGGATAGTTCAAGGAAATTGGTGATGCTGAATAAGGCTGAATAAGGTACCAGTATCCTAGTTTCTTTCAGCATGACTCCAGACAGGGACAGGCACGCCCCCTAGAGGGAGAAGCTGGCAAGGAGCTGGGCATATTTAAGCCAAATGGAGGGACTGGAGGGAAAATCAGAAAACCCTATGAGAATGAGAAAAATCAGTGGAAATTAACATATGGTGGCAACATGATGAAAACAGTGGTGTCCAGGGCAAAAGGTCCTTAGGGCGGCAAAACTAATTCCAGACCGCACCTGCTCCTGAGTTTCAGGCTACCAAGAATCTGCCAGCTACAAGATTTTGAATGCCCAAAGCAAAGCCATGCTAGAACAACACATGCAAGGCACCAACACCAAGCCTTTCTTTACATTTCTTCCTTTTCTTCGAAATTCAGTCACCGTCTGCATGGCTAACATCAAATTCCACTTTGCCATCCTGGCATTTTATTCCCCAATTCAATTGTTATAACTGTCTGAGATGTCTATGTTGGGTATTTCACTGGCAACACAAATAAACTATGGAAAAAAATATAACGTCTCAGCTCTCCCCTAAAACTCTCTCTCCTTTAAACTTGATACATTGGGCAGTGGTCCCGTTTCACACATATATGGAATAGAAACAAACACAGGACCTCAGAATCATCTGCTTTCCGTCCACTTTTCTACTGAAACAGAAAGAAAACCAAAGGCGCTGACCCAAGGGCCCCCTGGGGCAGTCAGGCAGGAGACAGGATGGACCACCGGGGAGGAGCTTGCTCTTGGAGCAGCCTTGTATGAAGTCAGGAGGTAGGGGGTAGGCAGCCTGGGCAGGTGAGAGAGACTATGGCCACTGACCACACCGGACAACGTGAGTCCCGGGCTCAGCAACCCCCCTCGACTCCTCAGGTGGAGGAGACCCGCTCTCTCAGATGATGGCGAGGCTGAGTGTGCCAGGAAGGCTTGCACACCCTGTGAAAGAAGGGCTATTGCTCCATCCTTAAAGGACACTGGCAGAAATCATCTCCGGGTTTTGAGTCACTGAGCTCTCTGACCTCACCTTGTTAGAGAGACAAACTCCACCTGACCCTGATCTGACCTCTGACCTTGAGCAGGGCATCTCAAAAACAAGGTGGGCAGGGAGAGGAAGCTAGTAAAATCCTAGCTAGTTTAGGATTTTACAACAGAAAAAGTTTATAGAAGTAATGCCTTTCTTCTGTGACAGGGAAGGAAAAACAGAAATCCAGGATATCTTGCTACTTCAATTCCCAGGTGCAGGGCTTTCCCTGAGAATGTGTCTCTCCTGTATTCCCAGCCCCATCCTCCCAAGGTCCTAAGGCTTCCCTTGCTGTCCTGTCCAGGGCCTCAGGGTAGGGCCTTTGCAGGCCTGCCGGCCAGTCTGCCTCCAACAAACCCCTCTGCCAGCCTCTCTGCCTTCAGACCTTGTAGCTATTCAAATACTTCTGCCTTCTCCTCTTCACTGAAATGAAGCTTTTCTCTCCAGACTGCTTTCTTTCTCTTGACTCACAAGGTCACCATTAGCTCAGAAGCTTATACAAATTAGTTCAACAAATATTTATCTAGCTACTGTGTGCCAGGCAGGGTGGAAGCGCCTGCAGAAGATCCTAAGATATAAGTAAGACACAGGTCGTGCCCTCAGGAATCTTTAGCCTGAGAATGGTTATAACACAAAATACACACACACACACACACACACACACACACACACAAACCCAACTGAGTCAGAATCAATGCCCTGGATTCTTGAGGGCTTCAAAGGATGGAGCGTTCACACGTGGTTGGTGGATGAGGAGAAGCCTCATAGATGAAAGAGCAACTGAGCTGTGCCTTGCAAGATGGACTGGATTTTGGCAGGCAGAAGTAAGAGGGGAGAATAATAAAGAAAAGGAACCATGAGCACCAGAAAAAAGAAAATCTCAGGGCAAATAGCACATACTCCACTTTGGCCAAAATGAAAGTCCTGTCTTTATTTTCCAGTCCTCATATTTGGTGATGTGAGCAGATACGTTCTGTCACAACGGTGAAACAGAAGAGTTGACACTGGCATATCAATGACACACACAGGTATACACAGAAAGGCATCGAATGCCAGCCCCAAAGTCTTCATCTAATCAATAATTAGAACAATTCAGGAAAACTAATTTTGGTTAATACTGTCCCAATTAAAGGCTTGTTAGGAGCTCTGTGTGTATCTT